AGTATACGTATGCTCGCCAATTGCTCTTCGAATTTCTGTGATGGGAATTTTTCCGACCTTAATAATTTTTGTCGTTTTCTTTAGGTGACTGAATCGGAAGCCCGACAGTTTGCAGAAGAAAATGGTGTACATGCTTTTATGGAAACTTCGGCCAAATTAGGTGACAACGTTCAGGAGGCTTTTTACGAAGGTGCAAGGACTGCCCTAGAAAGAGCCAAGGCTTCAAACACAACCGACATGTTTTTGCCTGCTGGAAGTTCTGGAACCACTTACCTTCATTCACGCAACAAATCTACCAATTCCATCTCCTCATGCACCGGTTCCTGTTAACTGAAATCCCCGTTCCCTGTGGTATGTTTTCTGAATTTTAATTACTTTTTGATTATCCCTCTGACTAAAATTACAATTACCTTTGTGGTGTTATGTTATAACGATAGATCTGGAAAACTCTTTCTCTGTCTTCTTTTCCTGCAAAGACGTCTTGCAAAACGCTTGTAATTCTCTGGTGGTATATTGCACTATTTGCGAACTCTGACCAGGGCTACATAGGATGAGGAATTTATGTCTAACCGTCCTACTTTGCATTAAATGTCCCATTTTCTTGTTAAACCTTGTTCATAGGTACAAGGCACCTCGCAATGTCCTCTACTCCGACCATTTACCCTCTAATATGCTCATACATTTTACAGCCGCCACTTTTTTAACGAACAAATGGCAGTTTCGACCACGGTTTATAACCAGTAGTTTGGTCGTCAGTACTGATACTTATAGGCCCATTTTTTATAATCTTGCCAGCTACTAATGCCGTACCTTATTACCTCCCAAGCCAACTTTTGTTTGTCGCAAACGTGTTACCAAATGTCCTTCATGACTTCCCATAAAATTGGCCTCGTCAATCGATGGACGCGCTCCTATTCACAATTCTCTGTCTGTAAATGTGTTAAGATGTTGGTGGATAGACACTCACCGCTCGCTTACGGGACTCAGTCGTCCCCTTCTATCTTGGGGGTGACTCGTGAGCCCCGCCAGCAACTTCACCACTGCTAGTATAGACAGGAAAGGATTATTGACAAAGACAAGAGAGAAATCACCTTTTCTGGCTTATTAGTCGTCATCAGCAAACCATATCCAAGCCTGAGGCTCGAAGTGTTAAAATAATTGTAGGCTTATTATATCGGACCTTTATGCATTCGTTGCTTTTCCCTGTGTAAAATAATGACTCCCTGTCTGTATGATCGCAGTTTCTTGAAGGGTTTGCTTAAACCCCAGTTTAAACTGTTTTGCAGCGTAGGTATTTCCAAATGGGCTGTTCTGTTGATGTTACTTCATCTATGCTACTAATTGATCGGGATAAATCTGTAACATTCTTTCGTTTTTGGTTTTTCAGTGATACACAGGAAAGATGTAGGTCTGAATGAAACCTTTATCTTATTAGCCATGCCGATTAATTAAATAAATTATTTTCCGATGCTGTGATGTAGAGTGCAACTGGACCTAGTTTCCCATCGTAGGTTGCAGACCGTAACTTTGTGTATTTAATCAACTGTGGTAATACTCGATACAACCTCAGTTAGATGACCAAAACACTGCGAGTCGTTGGTCAATTCGGTAATAAGAATGCTTGTGCCTGTTCAAGAGTCTTCACATTTTTCAAAGCTGCGTCTTTTAGTCGCTTAGAATGTCACGCGAGCTCCGCCTACCAACCCATTTTATCACTTAATAAAATGGGATCTTCGATACTGTCAGAAAGCATGTGCTGTCTGCAATACTTCAGGTTATTCGAATATTTTTAACGATATCAGAGGGACATTTTCTCATTTGGTTGTTCTTCCACAGTCAGCTTTATGTAGGAGATATTCTAAGAAACTTATTGATTTCTACCACCCGCTTGCCAAGGTGATGATGCCATTTATGACTAAGAATTTGGCCATGACACTCTCCTAACACGATAAAGAGTCGTACATGACTCTGTCTTGTGAAAATCGCTACCACGTAATTAGCTTAGTTTGCTTGTTCTAGCCCAGCCACTACTGTCCCTACCTTGTAATCATGTATTCGTTTCAGAGCATATGAAGGACCGTGCAGCTAGTACGCCCCAGGTAGATTTATTTATTCAAATATATTCCGGGTGAATTAACAGTATTGCCCTTGTGTGGGATCCGTGTGTGCTTTTATCACTAGCAATGCTTTTCAGGACAGTGAGGACTCACCAGAAGAAGTCCGTGGTTTCACTAATTTCCATTTTTTTTTCAACTTTAGACTCCAATAATCCGGATGTGAATATGCGGTCTTTCAAGTCCATTTATCATCGGAAATTTTGCTACCACTTTCCTAGTGTTTACTTAATTCATCCCAGATTTTCGTATTTGTGTATTTACTGACTGGTTAGCTTTCCTTTTTTCTCTTCCTTTGGTCAAGCTGCAATGTAACATACGCCCCTTTCACTTCTTTTTTTTTGTTTTCACCCCTGAGATTTCTTTCCGACCACTAAATATGGCTGTGCTGTGTGCCTTTTTCGAATTTTCATATGGAAAAAAAGCGTGTTTTGCACTGTATTTGGATCTTTTTCTGATGTTTTTGGGTTTTTATCGTCCTATAATTTGCAGTTCTTTTGTTTGATAATTTCCGTCGTACATCTTTAATGTTAAGTATCCGTACCGTACCGTATATCTAATCGAACCAGCTCTGACGATATGCTGTGCGCGTATTCGAAACACTCCTTGGGAATACTCGCTTTAATTAGCGAAATCCAAATAGAGAGTAGAATACTAAATTCGATTCAATTGTGAGTCATGGGTGAACTC